GTTTGGTAGCGGAGAAGACGATCCTCGGTGCCAAAACTCAGCAAGGAGTACCGTTGTAGAATTGATTCGCCTCATCAGGAATTGGTACTCTGCCAGCCAATGTGGACGTCTTGTAACCCTATTAAGCCTGGAGAGAGAGAGAGAGAGAAAGAGTACAAGGTGCTCACACTGATTTCAAACTTTTGCAACTTACATGTAGAAAGATCCAAGCTATAGTGGTCAAACATTGAAACTTTTCTTAAAATTTATTAGGGCCAAAATGTTTAGGACGTTTCTATGGCAACCATGTTTTCAGAGGGTGTTTGTAATTATGTTATTGTAATATCTAAATTATTGAGAATTTTGATTTTGTAGAGATTTTATTCTAAATCTTTACAGTTTTTGTAGTTTCATTTTTTCCTGATTTTTTGAAATTAATTCTGGAGCTATTCTGATATCTCTGAAATCCAAGATTGTTACGTCATGTATGCGTAATGTGAAGTTCTTTGACTATCACTTGTGTGATGCAACGTCATGTGGCTATCACTTCAGTAATCTAGCGTGGATGCCTTACATGCCACGGAAGTTTGGCAACTACTGAGTCAAAACTTTACGAGAAATACATAGAAAGATCGGGTCTTCAGTTGCCCACCACCCCTCACTGGCCCTCAGGCTCACTAATAGGCTAAACAGGGTTAAGATTGCAGATTACCAGTTGCTCTGTTGAATGTTAAAGCAGTGATCAGCTCATCCAGGTGGAGCAGTCTGTAGACTGGACTGGACTTGTAGCTGGAATTATGCTGGTTACGCTAAGCTGAAAAATATGATATGCAGCACGTATACCCAACTATTCAAGTCAGGACTTTTCTTGGCAAGCATACGGCATATATTGCTTCAATAAGACGAGACATATTATAACTTCAATATTTTGGCCTTACATTTCTGTTCATGAATTCGCATATGCTGAAGATAAAAGTAGTTTTTTTGAAAAGGGAGTCATCTGAATATCTTATAAGACTGATTAAGGAGATCTGGCTCTGTTGATTCTTTTTCAAAAGCTACAAGGCCCCCGTACCAGCTCTTCAGAGTCTTCCGTTGAAGATACGTGATGGCTTTAAGGCCCATAAATTTTATGTCAGTGAGATTCCGTATAAGCAAAGTTGCGACTTCATTCACCCTGATATATTTCCAGTAAATTTAACAATACCTTAAAGGATACTGTTTGCATGATGAGTTTCTGTTCAGTGCAAGGGTGAATGTCTATGCACACAGCAGGTCTGCTTGTCTAAGTAGCCAGAGAGCTCCCCCGTCCGATCCTCTCAGTCTAAATATCTCTAACAGTGCTGTAACTTCAACTTCCAGGTGACTGATTTTGCTTTTGTTGTACTCTTCACCATCAGAAGAGTGGGAATGTCACTGGCTAAACAGCAGACTGTCCGAGAGTTCTCTATGCACCGCAATGGCAAGATGACTGGTCTTTCTGGGAACATAGCCATTGACATGGTTTTCAACCAGTTCAAGGGTGGTAGTTCAGTCATCTAAAAGCAGCCGAAGTGTGAAAAAAACTTTATAGAACCATCAGTAAATATCACAAAAATAGCACTAGGAGTTATAAGGGATATCTGAAAGGCACACCGACTTGCATCAATCAGCAGTACAATTTGGTGTAATCTTTTCTTGACGAGACATTTTTAAAGGCTATTTCCTGAGCAGTTGTAACAGTAAAGTTTGAGCGAAGTACATTAACAAAAAACACAGCCAGATTTCACTCTGTTACCTCTGAAAACGAACCAATCAATTCTCCTTAGCCAGACTCGTACAATCAATATTAGATTTAAGACCTTGGTGGACCATCAAGACAATATTCTCAAATTTGCAAGACCTTTTTTTAATCTTGTAAACCGTCTGCTTTACAATTAGCTTCCTTGAGGGACAATGTGCTCGTTGCTGTTCATTTGATCTTATTATTTTCTTTAATCGATTTTTTCTGCAGAGAATTTAATTGGTAGCACATCAATAGAAATAATATCTTGTTCATAGTTAATTCATTCAGGATTTCTTTACTCTTCTCACCTGGTAAGTCAAGGTGTGCAATAATTCTCTACTCCCTCTGTACAGAATAGTGGTCGACGAAAATTCCTTGTAATACTCACAAATTAAGCATCACTGGAGAAAGATCCATCTTTTAAACCTGCTTACGATCTGGAAGTTGTTGTCAGTCTCCTTCCCATCATCATTGGGGCAGCATCAAAAGGAAGCAAAACCTACAAAGACTGGACTACGACATGAACTATCAATTATGAAAATATTGCTCACGTCGATCACTTTCACTTGCCTCGATGTTTTCTATCACTTAGATCATGTGTTTATTCCCCCAGCTGTCTGGCATTGTACGCATGTTTATAATTAGTAAGTTCATGAAAAAGACTAGCTAAGTAAAATTGCCAAATATTTGAACAAAAACAAATATCAAGCACGTTCAACTGTTGAAACTAAAGAGTAATACTTGCCCACTTACCTTTGCGATAAAATTCACTCCGTTAAAAAACATGGTGGTGTAGTGCAGGATGGTTTGCAGATGGTTACTCGTTGTGTCTCTACCTGTAGCTCAAGCAAAAAAAAAAAAAAAAAAAAATGAGATCACCATTTACGACATGTAGTAACTTACATCCGATTTTAACAGCACGAGCTCTTTTAATTCAAATCTGGAGAAATGCTTCTGGTGATGACTGTCAACTTCATCCCTTGTCCGTTTACGTTCGTCAGCAACCAAAACTCGCTTGCTCCTTCGTCTCATCTCTTTTACGCCGCCGAAAGTGGCGCATTCAGAATAACAGGACAAGCTAACTCGTTCAAGTCAACCCCGAAAGTGACAATTCATTTTCTGACTTTCTTGCAAACTTGAAAAAAGTTCTCGTCACGTTCTGATAATTCGAAATTTCTCTTCGGATACAACTGAACGTGCTTGCTGCGTCCCCGAAAATGGACGCTCGGTTAAGTCCTCAAACTGAAATATTAAAGAATATTTTGCAGTACTTAGTTACCTCACAATACCGATAGTAAAAATGAAATTGCGCTCTGGTTGTGTAGAAATCTCTGAAAATAAAAGGCTGTAGAATTGTATTTAGTTTCTTTTATTGTATTCTTACCAAAATGACACAAAATATGACAAAGCAAGCTTTTTGTATAATATTCTCAAACTTTATTCTCAAATTGAGTGCGTCACTAATTACATATATACTGAAATATTCAGAGAAATGCTGTACAATCAGTTACGGCCAGTTAGCTGTATGCGTTGCAGTCCTTCATTCAGAACTTGAAACAAACACACTAAATAAGAACAGAGCACACCATTTTCACAAAGATGATTTTTGCTCTCAAAGTCTACACTTGCGTTATACAAGTCGATTCCGCTCCCGAAAATGAGCTCAGTCCAACAGAGTTCAACAACTGCAGATAAAATTTGAACTAAGACGTCCCCGAAAATGGACAAGTGATTGCACTGAAGCTAAAGTTTTGCAAACTTAACATAATTCTTTGGCCCTCTCAAAATTATATGGAACGTACATTTTCCGAAGAACATCTTACAAGAGACAGGGCCATAAACAACTTTGTGTCGTTGAAAGCGTCAAATCCAGAGGAAATCAACATACACTCGGCCTAGTTCTTTATCGAGACTCAAGAAACACAAACAAACAAAGACACAACACACCATTTGTTCGAAAGTGAATTTTATTTCCGTGGTTTGTGTTATGCATTCAATTGTCAGTCTCTGCTGCTCCTGAAAATGAGCTCTGACACAGTTCTATAGCCGTGGATATGATTAAATGAAGACCTCCCGAAAATGGACGGGCGAAAGTTTGCAACCAAGGCATAACTCGTAGAAAAGGTTTTAGAAGAACAAGCAACGTAGCTTAGACGGGAAAAAATAAATATGCGAGGCGGCGAGTCTGCAGCTCTGTAAAAATGTGCATTTTTTGGAGTTAAATTACAATGTAGTTACTTATTCGGACCAAAAAGAAGCACAAAATAAGGACAGAACACACTATTTGTTCAAAAGTGATTTTATTCTTTAAAGTCTGTGGTACAACAATA